AGCTGGATCACGCCCCCATTCCCCCTCTCCCCGCCATCCCCTCCAGGGCTGGAGCGGGGCTGGGTCATGTCTCCCACCCCCTCTACAGGGTCAGGTCAAGCCCCCTTCCCTACCACATCTGGATAGGGGCTGGACTGCCCCCTTTCCCCGCTGCACAGCCAAATGGAGCCTTGTTGGATCTGCCCTGGTCACCAGCTTAGGTCTACTGGCTGGATCCCATCCCGCCCACTAGACAAATATTGAGAACTACTTCTCTAAATTATTGGGGGCCAACCTTCTGGCCCTGGGTGCCAAGTAAGAAGAGGTACAGGTATACTCTGGTAGTATTCCCATGCCAGGAACTCCCAAAATAGTCCTCAGCTGCTGTTGCTTTAAAAGTAACAGCTGGGGCAGGCAGAGCATCCACAGAGACAGCAGCAGCTGAGCTGGGACTGTCTGAGTTTCTAGTGCGGGTAAGACTGCTGTCCCCACCCCACCCCTGCTCTCACAACTGGATCCCAGCCCACTCTCATAACCCACATGCCCCTGACTTTCATAACTGCACAACAAACCCCCTCCCATCCCATAGGGTTTGCCCTGGACTCCAACTTTGTACACCTCCCCAATCTACCACATGCCACGCACACAGGCTGTTAATGCCACTGGTGGCACCCCTGCCACACTTGTACAAAAGCTTAAAATTCAAGCATAAGCAGTCCCATTAGTCATATGAGCAAAAAGTTACATACATGTTTGCTAAATCAGGCACTACTTTCTTTCTTCCTTCCTTTCAAGTGCCACTAAGAAGCATTTTGAAAAAAATAAAATTGAATTAGGATCATAAAAAAAATCATAGGGCTGGAAGAAACCCTCAAGGGTCAGGTAGCATAACCCCCTACACAAATGCAGGATGCACTATTATGCCATCCCATACAAATGCCTATCCATCCTGTACCCATTTCATCTTTTGATTAGAACGTATAATAGCACAGATTGAAAATTTGGTATGAAGAGTCTCAACAAGATTTTTTTTTTAAAAAAACATGTTTTAAAACCTAATTTTAAATGTCTTGGATCTATATCACTCAGCCCTGGAAACTGTCATTCCAGCCACTGATTCAGAAGGATAGTAGCTTCAGACAGTGTTCCAGAATAAGAAAACTAGTCCCACACCTTCTAAACTTTTATTGTGGTCTCATCTTCATTTTAAGTACTAACAGCTTCATCTTTTCATGGTTTTTTGTTTTTTAAATCAATACTGATAAGAATTTAAAAGGCAAGACTGGACAGATGGGACCAATATCAAGACGGATCAAATTTGGAACCCAAAAGTCTTTACAATGTACTTTAAAAAAAGGTAATAGGTAAAAAATACCACCACATACATACATACATGCATACACGCATCCCTGTTGTGAGTGAAAACATTTTGTTTAGAATATCAACAGTATAAACCATACATTTCAAGCCAAACGATGCAACTAATACAGCACTGTTCAGATGGTGAACCTAGTTCAACTAGACAAGCATGTTTATAATCACATTTATTACCAATGAAAAGGAAAACTGTGGTTGGTACTCAGGCTCAGAGTGATATCTTAAAAACCAAAGACAAGTGGAAATAAAAGCTGAAAGATGTTGGTGTGGCACGCACCTTCAGTATCATCACGCAATTGCTCCACCAAATCTGTCAAATCCTCCCAAGAGTCTTTGCAAACAGCAAAAAGAAAGGAAAAGAAAGAAAATGTCATGCAAGCCATAATCTAAAGGAAAGATTCAAAATCAAGATATAAGAAAGGGAAAACTGAAAGGGAAATTCTTCTAATAAGAAGACTCAGTTGGTAGTGATAAGAGATTTCTAATTCAAAAGAGTTTATTAGTTTGCACAAAGCAATATAACAAGGATTTTTTGTTGGTGGTTTTTGTTTTGGGTGGTTAAGAAGAGATAGCTTTTTATTTTATTTTTTTTATAAGAGATAGCAAGTAATGCACGCTAGGTAGAATTTGGGTATGTTTAACTCTCAACATGATTAATACTTGTGTAAACCATTTCCTAATAAAGAATTCCAAGTAGAAATCTATATTTTTGTTTTATAACTATGAAGATCAAGGAACTAAACTTGTGATATCAAACTTCTCCATGTGACACTGGCATCTGCTTCAGGTTTCTTCCCCCCCACTCCAACCTTTCAATCTGACATAAATAAAAGAAGGAAATAGAGCTAAAAGTGAAAAGCAAGTTCTATATGCTCTCTGTGTTTTAAAGACAATGTACACAAGACACAAGCAAAACTAAACAGTGACATTCCTGTTCTACAGACTGCAAGTCACATTTTAAAAAGATTTGCACAAAAAATGGTGTGCCAACATCTCAAACAAAAACACTTTTGATTCTACTGCTGTCCTGCAAGCTGCAGATAGGTAAAGGGGAGGAGGCAGAAAAGTGGGCAGAACAGAGAAAGCTGGTCTCAACATGCATACTAAGTCTCTGTCCTTGACTCCATAAACAGTTACCAAACCAGAACTGTAAGTTAACAAATTCTTGGCTTCTTACTTACGTGTTTTGTTCTCTCCTGAAACACTAGTTCTCATTCAGCATGTATGCTTGAGGGGTGAGAAAATTTAATTCCTTTTTCCAAACAGAGCTCTGGACAAGGTACTGGGCAAAGTACACTCCCTATGACATCCTTTCTCCCTCCCCCTCTGAAAAGCTACTGCTCACCTCCTCCCCAAACCAAGAAACCAGATCTGACTTGAACAACAAAACACTTTACACCGAACAGCTTATTAAGCACAAGAACTCTCCCATATTAGAGTCTTAATGACTGATTTCCATATTTTATTATTCTATTAAACTCTACAGTTAATACCAATTCCTTTTTAAAAAAAAGGAGTTTCATACCTTATTTCTTTAATGAGACCTATATTTACTTTTTCTTAAATAACTAAGTACCTGCATCTATAGAGACCAAGAAAGTGGAACAGATTTTCATTTTCAGAAACAGTGTAAGCACTGAAGATAGTGCCTTTCAGAAATTAAATATTTGAGGAAAACACTTTACATAATGGAATGCTACTGATAAAGACGCTGAGGTTGCTTATATCCATTGGCATAGTACTTTACTCTTTTAGTCATTAAAGAGCCCAACAACTCCTGTAAATATTTAATAAAATTTGCAAGCCTAAACAGAGACTACCAAATACTAGACTTACACTGCATGAACCTCAGATGACAACTAAGGTAAAAGGGATCATAGGCTAAACATAATGAAGTGAGTGAGTGAGAGTCTTCTTGACTTTTAAACTTGTATTATAAAAAAGTTAAACACAAAAGGTAAAAGTGCAGAGAAGTGTGTGGCCTCCCCAGGGATTGAGCATGAAACACTTGTCAGTAGCAAAAGCACACATATCAGCAGAGATTGAAACCTCCTCCCTAACAGCGCCCTTCATGAGGTTACACATTTAGAACTAGTTGTCCATCTTCTACCTCATAGTGTTCCTTCAATGGACACAAACTGGTCTGAGTAAGAGACAGAGAAAGAGAACTGGAAAACCCTTTTTACTATATAGTAAGGACTTTGCACTTAACGTAAAAAGATTAGAGAAAAATATCACTATTGTTTTTAGCTTTTCTTTATGCAACTGACAGCAGTTTGTGGAAATTCATTTCCTCATTAACCCTGTATAGTTAGCTTTTCCTCTTCTGTTAATGTTTTCAAATAGCAAAGAAGAAGAAAACTCAAAACAAGTAACTTAAGTATCTCAACTACTACATTTTTAGATAGCTCTTTTTACCTTCATGGAATCCCTTTAAAAGAATGTCCTACTTTGACTTGGATGTTGCCAATAAATATCTACTTAATTGTCCCATAGTGCTAGAAGTCTTAATTAGTCTCTGTGTATAAGGAAGACTTAATTAGATGCTACCCTACAGTTAAAAACAGTTCCTTAAAATTTAATGAGAAAGGGAAATCTGGAGGCAATAAAAAAGCATGAGAGGAACAGGTGTCTACGAAGGGTCAGCTATCTTCTATGCCACCAATTTGTTTCTACTATTACAAATTCTAACAAAGTTCATAGAATCATAGAAAATTAGGGCTGGAAGGGACCTCAGGAGGTCATATCTAGTCCAACCCCCTGCTCAAAGCAGGACCAGCCCCAACTAGATTATCCCAGCCAAGGCTTTGCCTAGCTGAGTTTTAAAAATCTCCAAGGATGGAGCTTCCACCACCTCTCTGGGTAACCTGTTCCAGTGCTTACTACGCATCTAGGAAGAACATTTTTCCTAAGATCTAACCTAAGCTTCCCTTGCTGCAACTCGAGACCATTGCTCCTTGTTCCATCATCACCCACCATTGAGAACAGTCTAGCTCCATCCTCTTTCGAACCCTTCAGGTAGTTGAAGGCTGCTATTAAGCCCCCTCTCAGTATCCTCTTGTCTAGACTAAATAAGCCCAATTCCCTTAGTCTTTCCTCATAATTCATGCCACCCAGCCCCCTCACCATTTTTGTCACCCTTCGCTGGACTCTCTCCAATTTGTCCACATCCTTTCTATAGCGGGGGAACCAAAACTGAACACAGTACTCCAGATGTGGCCTAACTAGTGCTGAATAGAAGGGGAAAAAATCACTTCCCTTGACCTACTGGCAACATACCTATCAATGCAGCCCAGTATGCTGTTAGCCTTCTTGGCAACAAGGGCACACTGCTGGCTCATATTCAGCTTATTGTCCACTGTAACCCCCAGGTCCCTTTCCGCAGAGCTGCTGCCCAGCCAGTCAGCCCCCAAGTCTGTACTGGTGCATGTGATTGTTCTGTCTGTCCTAAGTGCAGGACTTTGCACTTGTCCTTGTTGAAGCTCATGAGATTCCATTCGGGCCAATCCTCCTATTTGTCTAGATCACTCTGAATCCTAGCCCTACCCTCTGGCATATCTACTACCCCCGCAGCTAGGTGTCATCTGCAATTGTAGCTATTAAACGAAGAACCCACATATCGTCATAGGCGACTCCATCCTGAGAGGTACGGAAGGACCCATCTGTTGCCAGGACCCCTCAACACAAGAGGTCTACTGCCTGCCCGGAGCAAAGATTCGGGATGTGATGGGAATAATCCAGGCCAGGATTAAGCCCACCGATTACTACCCCATGGTCCTAGTCCATGTGGGTACTAATGATG